ACCACAGTGGAGAACTTGTGGTCAGTTTGAAAATGAGAGGTCCAGTCATTTTGAAAAGTGATTTTGTTTGTGAGTTTAAGCTCATAAAAATGGTTTTCGATAACACAAAAAATGGTTTTATTTTAACAATAACATCACAAAATTGGATGCATCTTGAGATATGGCAGATCAAAATTCCATCATAATGAGAGATGTGATACTGTAACTGGGCCAGCAGTCAAAGTCAAATTAGTTTGGTGTGGTTGGCATAATGTGAGGATTACTGGGGTAGCCAGTGTTCTTTATTTTATTGGCATGGTGGTGATTGTCATTGAGCACACGCCTAGAGGAGGAAGTTTTTTTTGATGAATTGGGAAGTGAACAAAGGAGTTTATTTTAAAATTTGGAAAGATTGGAAAGACAGAGTTTAGTATTCACTCCTATCCACATCAGAACCAGAGTGGAAAGGAAAGTGACCCAAGGTCAGGCAATTGTTCAATGTAAGAGTTGTGGCTTCTGTCCCTGCTCCAGCTCCTGCTCTGGCTCCTGCTCTTGTGGCACTTGTGTCATGATCCACAGCTGTGCTTGCGGTGGTCATTGTGGGCACTGCTGCGTCTGTGGGTGTGGGTGTCAGTATCCTCATGATCTCAATGCTTTCTCTTGTGCAATGGTTCCAAGTGAGGGGTTGTGGAGAGCTGGGACTGCTGTTGATTTTGAGAGTCAGTGATATATTTCATCACATACATGTACACAACGAAAAAAGGGCATGGGTGAATGAAAACCTGTGTAGGGGTGCTAGGAGCTGATGCCATGGAAGAACAGGGTGAAGGTCAAGAAGAAGTGGAGGTACTGGATGAGGTGAGTTGATGCGCCACTGTCCAGGCTGCTGTAGTCCAGGATGTGATGTCAGATGGGTTAGGGTTAGGGTTAGGGTTAAACAGTTATTTATTTACACGTTTTTTAAACATATTAACACTATGCCGGGCAACAAGCTGCCGCGGCCGAAGGAAAAACTAAGTACAAATGGAAAAGGGGGGAAAAGGGGGAGAGAAAAAACAGGCCGGCAAAAACCAGGGCGAAAAAGAGCCGCCCCGGTAGGCCTTGGGAAGCCGGGGGCTCAAGCTGGCTGAGGCTCAGAACGGTCGGCGGGGCTCGACCTAGCCGCCTGTACAGCGCGCGACAATATGTCGTGGCGCGTGCGGTGGTAGGTGGTCGCCGTCGCCGTCGTCCTGGCCGTCCTGGCCGTCCTCGTCGTGCGGCTTAGTTGCCGCCGACGATGAGGGCGGCGCAGGCGCCCCAGGCGTAGGAGAGGCGGGCCGTGCCTCGAACGGCGGCCACAGCGAGGCGCAGACGCGCCTTGGCCTGTTTGGCCGCCGTCGTGTCGCCCATGGCGCGCTTGAGGAAGGCCTTGGCCGGCCTCGAGAGTACGCCGAAGGGCGACACGACGAACGGCACCACCTTGGCGATCGAGCCGTCGGCTACCGCAGGGCCGTATTTCGCGGCCTTGCGGCTGACGGCTCGGTCGAAGGCCTTGGCGCGTGACCGACGGCAGGCGGCCGCGACCATCACGTCCACCGCGGTGGAGGTGGCGGGTAGCCACAGGTCCGCGCGTAGTAGTGCGCGGGTGGGCGTGGTAGGGCGCTCGGGGTTGGGGCTCTCTCCCGTCGCGGCGTCGACGCTTCGAGTGACGCTCTGGTCACTGTACTCGTAGTCCAGGTCGTCACCGCCTTCATCCCCGTCGCTGCTGCTGCTGTTGCAGTTGTTGTAGACGTCGTCGTCGTTGTCATCTTTACCGTCTTCGTCATCGTCTTCGTGAGCGTTGTCCTCGTTGTCCTCGTCGCTGTTGTCGAGCGTGTCGTCCGCGGCGAAGGGTGTGGCGGTGTAGTGGCCGGGGCACGTGACGTTCCTTTCTCCCTCTCCTCTTTCCTCTCCGTGGCAGTTGTCGTCATGGTCGTCGTCGTCGTCGTCGTCGCTCAGGAGGCTGTTGTCGTTGATGATTGCGGCGGCGGCGGCGGCGGTGGCGGCGGCGGCGGCGGCTCTGGCTGAAGCGCGGGTCTCGGGGCGACGTTTGGTCGCGACCGCGTGGCCGTCTGCGTTGTCGTCGGCGGTGGTGACTGGGCTGCCGTCCTCGTCGCCGTTGTTGTTGTTGTCGGTGGGCGCGACGGGGGGGATGGCGAGCACGTGTTCGCGGACCGGCTTCTCGGTCTTGCAGGCGAGCTCGACTCGGCGAACGACCACGTCGTGGCGTGCTGTGCGCAAATGGGATAGCGAAACGCACGTGTACGCGTGGGACGGGTCGATGCCGGTCTTGTGGCATGCCGGACAGACGCCGGCCGCATTGGCCGTCGTCGTGAGCAACTTAATGCGCACGGCTTCGGCCAGTTCGGCGTCTGGCAAGACGAGGGTCGGGTCGGAGGGTATGGCGGCCAGCCAGGCACCGGATCCCGGCGTGGCGGCGTCCTCGAACACGGCGGCGAAGAGGAAGGGCACTTGGCGGCGGGTCCGATGGGCGGACTTGGAGTCCGCCATCCCCTGGAGGACGCGCTGCAGTTGTGTGGTGCCCAGCTTGTCCACGTCGGGGAAGACTCCCCTGGCGATGGACCGCCGCCAGGCGGCTTCGTCGTTGCACGCGTCGGTGCGTGCCAGCTCGGGCAGGGCGGCTCTGAGGCGTCGGGCCGTACTGGCGCTGCACGTGAGCTCGGATCGGCGCGTGTTGGCGAGCGCGGCGGCGAACAGGATCGAGGCCACGAAGGCCCGGGGCGCCGTGTCCTTCATTGAACGGAGGCCGAGACCGCCCAGGCGGACAGGCAGGCGCGCGATGTCGGCTTGCAGGGACCCGTCCCGCACGTCAAGTCCGACCAGCGCGCCCGTGCGCCTGAGGAGCGCTGTATCCCAGACGGCGAGGGCCGGGCCTGCGTCGGGCACGGCGCGGGCCCAGAACGTGGGTATCTGGGCCACGCACTGCCGTAGCAGCACCAGCTTGTGCTGCAGCGGTAGCTCGGCGTCAGCGACGAGGTCGAGTGTGCCGATGGCGCGCTTGATGATGCCGTCGAGCGACTTGGCGACGAAGGCGGGCGAGCCCACGGGCGCGCCGAGGATTTTGAGGCCCTCGCGCACTGGTGCGCAGCTCTCGACGTCCTCCCGCGCGCCAGCGGCGTGGGGGGGAAGGAGGGCTTCTGCGTCCGCGGCCCACACCGCCGACTTGCAGCGGTTGAGCCGCAAGCCAGCGGCCGCGCCTTCGCGTTCCGCCGTAGCGAAGGTGGCAGCGACGGCGGCCTTGGTCGCGGCGTCCGTGACACCGTGGGGTATCGTGACGAAGATGTCGTCGAGGTACGCTCGCGGCGTCACGTACGGTATGGCGTCGATCTCGTCGAGGACCGGGGCAGCGCCGATGGCGAAGAAGAGGGGTCCCAGGACGTCGCCCTGGCGCACGCCGGCCTGGGAGAGCAGGGAGGCCGGCAGCCCCGCCTTTTCGAACGCGCGCGGCAGCACGAGGACTGAGTCCTCACGGTAGGACCACTCGTAGAGTCGCGCGAGAGCGGGTGCGCGGTCGGCGATGAGCAGGGCCGTGTGCACGCGGTCGAGCGAGTTGAACGCGTTACGCCAGTCGAGCGAGACGACCGCTCGGAGCTGGCCGCTGTCGTGCAGTTCGCGGACGGCGTGGACCGGGGCCTCAACCCCACCGGGGTAGGCCACGCCATACTGGTGCCGCCCGACATATTGCGTGGCGTCGGCGCTCGACATCACCCTGTCGGCCTTGAGAACAAGGCGGCCGATGACGCGATAGAGGGCCTCGCCTACGGCGATGGGTCGCACACCGCCGTCGGGCTTCTTCAGCGCGACGAGGCGGCTGGCGGTGAGCAATCCCCGCCAGTGTAGGGTGCCCCGGAGGGCTCTCTGCGCCATGTCGATGAGGAACGCGGCGACCGTGCCCGTGGGTTGGCGGTCAATGGCCGCCTGCACGAGCTCGAACGTCCAGCCCGAGGGACCCGGCGCACTACCGCGCGGGAGCTCTTTGGCCACTTGGGCCAGGTGCTTGGCGGTGACCCGCGGGATCGCGGCCTTCGGGGCGCCGGGCCATAGTCCTCTGTCGGTGGGGTTAGGCGGGTGGAGCGCCTCGAGACGCCCGAGGGTGTCTGCCGAAGCGACCGCGGGCTCGCCCCGTTCAAGGGCACGGAGAGCTCGGGAGGAAAGCCCTTGCTCCACTAGTCGTTTGGCTTGCCGGGCGCTGGCGGTGGCCGCGGGCCGATCGTGCACACCTCCGCTGTCGTTGTCGTTGTCGTTGCTGACGTCGCCGGCTGTCGTCCCCGATACGGGGAAACCGCGTAGGGCGTCGTCGGCGTCCGGGGTGTCGCATGGCGGGTCCGGGATGGCCGGGATCCTTCCGGCGGCGATGTCGAGCAGGCGCTCTCGTTGAAGCTTGGTGCGGGCGGCGCCTCGACAGTTGGTGGGCACTGCCAGCCCGCGGGCCGGCAGCTCGATGAAGAGCCGCAAGTGGGCGTTGTAGCCCTGCGTGTCGCCCGCGGTGTGGCAATCCAGCGCGGCTTCCGCGATGGTCTTGGCGGCGGCCTGCCACGCGGACTTGAGGCGGCGCGGGATCTCCTGAAGACGGGCTGACGGGCAAGCGAGGAAGGCGCGCGCGTAAGGCGGGAGGTCGCCGGCGGTGGCTGGGGCTTCCTCCTCGAGGAAACACGCCTCGAACTCGAAGGGGGCGCGGGTCTCACGGGGCGCGTGGGGGGCAGTGAGCGCGATTGTGTCACCGCCGTACGTGTCATCGTCCTCGTGTTCGTCTGCTAGGCCGAGGCCCGGCGCGGACGAAGGGGCGGCGGCGGCGTCTTCGCGGCGTGAGACGGCGTGGTCCTGAGGCGTCACAGGTGAGGACGCCTCAGGTATCGCTCCGGCTCGCGCCTTAGGGACGAAGGGACGCGCGACTGGCGACAGCTTGGGCCTGTTAGCACGCGGCGCGGGGGCCGGGTAGGGCGTGGCCACAGGCAGGACGAAGCGTCTGGCAGCCGGGATGGGCGAGCCTGCTGGCGACGAAGTCAGCGTGGAGGGCGGTGATGGCGTGGTAGGCGCGTTCGCGAAACCCGAAAACAGGTCGGGCGAAGGCTGCGATGGCGGGGTCGTGGGCGGGGAGCACGGGGACGTCACGCTGGAGGTGGGAGGAGAGGCAGAAGGGGGCGGGTGTAGGAGCGCAGGCGGGTACGGCAGTGGGCTGGGGGCGGCGCGTGGCGCAGCTCGCGGCGGAGGACCGGCGTTGGGCGGGGCTATCGAAGGGGTCGGGGCTGGGGTCCTACCGCGAGAATCCGCGCGGGGTACGGCGGCGACGGCGAGGGCGGCGCGGGGGGCTGGTGGCGGGGCGTGACGGGCCTTGCCCCTATGAGAGGCAAGTCCTGCAGCTCCGCGAAACCACTTGCGGCAGCCCTCGTGTAGGCACTGCACGATGCCGCAGGCGGCGGCGACGTCACGGGGCACATCACCGTCGTGCATGCGTGTGAGGTGCGCGGAGAGGTCCTGCCATGTGGACGTGCGGGTCTGACAGTGGGCGAGAGGGCAGTGGAAGCGGCCATCGCGGAAGAGGCGGGGTATCGACGCAACTGAGGCGGACGTGGAAGCTGACGCCCGCGAGCGAGCGGAAGAAGAAGAAGAAGAAGACGAAGG